ATAGTGTGCCTGCGCCTGAGCCAGGCGGACACCCTGCGCGGGGGGCCCAGCTGGGGGAACCCTCACTAACTGCGGACAGTCTGGGGTGCCCTCGTGCCTGTGTTGGGGTGGGCGGGAGAAGGCAGTCTCTCCTCCACAGTCTCACCGTGTCCCGTCTCTTCGTGTTCGGCAGCATCCAGAATGGCTGCCTCCTGGCCGCCCCTCCTGAGACGCTGCCCGGGCCCAGCCAGGCCTCTGGGTCCTCAGTGCTGGCGGAGCTGCCTGGCTAGAACCATGAGTGATTCCCCCTCAGGGCTGAGACAGCGGGGACATAAAAGCCGGGACTGACGGGATCCCGGCCATAAAACCTGGCCCTCTACTGCCAGCATCTGGAAATTGCCTTTAATTCATGGTGTCTGACCCCAAAGACACCCCACAGCATCTCCTCCTTGGGGTTCAGCCCGGGGTGGGCGGAGGGAGGTGGCGCGCTCAAGGGCTGTCTTTGCTCGGAAACCGAAACGTGTGCTTTGCTCCTGTGAACTCTGCGAGGCCCCCGCATTCCTGGAGCTTGGAGTCCAGCAATAAGGAGAGTGCAGAGCCAGCTCCTCTCAGGGGCCCGAGGCCCGTTAGAACCACCAGCACCGGCTCCCAAAGACACGCGGCCCAGGAACGCACACTCGCAGGAAGCGTGTTGGGTTCTTGTCTCTCCACGGGTCCGCCAGGCCCTCCCCACCCTCCGTGCGCTCTCTCCTTCCTGCTGTCTTTTTGTATTTGCTGTTTCTATGGCAGGATTTCTCTCCTGAAGACTTGCTCTTGGAGTCTCTCCTCCCTCCCTCCCCCTCTCTCCATCTCTGTCTCTCTCTCTGCCCATCTTCTCCCAGTCTCCCCCTTCCCACGGCCCCTTACCTCCCTCCCTTGGGGAGACAGAGCCAGGCACCGCAGACACCTTGGCACCGAACACACAAGCCCACCCTCACCTCTCCGACAGCAGCCCTGCCCACCTGGACCCAGTGGGAGTCTGGCCGGGGCAGCGAATTCCTGCCCAGGTAGGATGCTCAAGGCCTGGGACTGGGTTCCCTCCCCAGGCACCGAGCCGAACTCAAGCCACACTCCTCCCAGGAAGGCAGGGGGACCGAGGCAGCCACAGCTGCACTCAGGGTGTAGCCAAAGAGCGTCAGGTGTGGACGCGGTGGCCCCAATGAAGAACAGGGTTGGAACTTGCTGGCGAACAGACTTATTGTCTGCGAGGGCCGCTCCAGAAGCTGGCTTCGCTTTGTCCTGAGAAGATAAATCACCCAGCTGCCCAAGGTGACCTGCTGCCCAAGGTGGTGAAACATGGGGACAGAACGGGGCCCATCGCAGGCGGCGGGTGAAATAAAGGTCGAGCGGCCATCCCTGAGGCCTGTGCGGTCGGAAGATCGTGCAGGCTGCTCCCGGGTGCAGGGGTGCCGTGAGAACCGCGTGTCACGGGACGGACGCGGGGTGCAGTGCGTGGGTCTGCGTGTGTTTGTAGCCTGGGTTTGTGTGTCTCCCGGCGTGCGCTTCGCTAAATACTAACAGCTGCTGCCTGAGGGTGTGGGACTTGGGGCCATTCCCACCTTGTTTTATTTGTATTCTTGTCTGGATTACGTTTTTAAAATTCTTTCCTTTGTGTAATGGGGGAGTGGTGGCAAAACAATACAAAGGCCATTCTTATTTTTATTTTTAAATTTGTTTTTATTGATTTCAGAGAGGAAGGGAAAGGGAGAGGGAGATAGAAACATCAGTGATGAGAGAGAATCATTGACCAGCTGCCTCCTGCACACCCCACCCTGGGGATCGAGCCCACAACTCAGGCATGTGCCCTGACCGGGAATCAAACCATGACCTCCTGGTTCATAGGTCGACGCTCAGCCACTGAGCCACACCGGCCGGGCCATTTTGATTTTGAAAAGAAGAAATGCTTGGGGGGAAGACATCCCTGCCCTCCTCCTGCAGGGGGAATGCAGGCTCAGGGGGTACAGCCTGCCCATCCCGGCCCCCCGCGGTCCCCCGGACCCTCTCCCCAGCAGGGCCTGGTGCGTTAGGAGCCGAGGCGTGTGTGTGTCCTCCCAGCAGGGCCTGGTGCGTTAGGGACAGCCAGTGCAGCCCCACGAGGCAGAGCCTGTCGGAGGGCGAGGAGCAGGTGGACCGGCTGCAGCAGGTGGAGCTGGTCAGGACCACCCCCATGTCCCACTGGAAGGCGGGCGCCGTGCAGGCCTGGCTGGAGGTGGTCATGGCCATGCCCATGTATGTCAAGGCCTGCGCAGAGAACGTGAAGAGCGGGAAGGTAGGGCACCCCCGGGACCCCAGTGAGAATCCCCCCTGGGCCCTCCCATGAGCTTTACCAACCCTGAGCTGGCCTGCCCCACCCCCACCCCGACTCCCACCCCGACCCTCAGGGCGCGGAGGAGATGTAACCCAGGAGCCGCTGATCCGGTGCAGGCGCCGTGTTCCCATAACCCTCAGCCTCCCCAGCAAGTCACAGCCCGCCCGGGCTCAGCCTCCTCACCTTTAAACGGGGACCAGCCTCCCTTTACCTGGCTGAGGGGAGGCAGGGCTCCACGGGAGGGCTCTTCCGGCCTGGGTGGTGATCTGCCCACCTCCTGGAGGCCCAGCCTGAGAGGTGCTGCAGGGGTGCTCCAGGCGG